CATAGAGTTAGTATAGATAGAGTAGGCAAAACATAGGCGCGCGTGTAAGTGGAAACATCACATCGATAGAAAGAGAGAAAAAACGAACTTGGTATTATTATTTCTTCTCTGTTTCGTCGTGAGAGAAAGAGAGCACCACCAAATCCAATTTCCTTTCTCTTTTTATTCACCGGACGCCTACCTACCGGGCTTGCCTACTCTATCTATACTAACTCTATGGTCCGTGTACAGATGGATGTTCAAATGGATGCGCAAGAACACACCTTATGTTTTTACATCATGGGGGCTCGTAAACGGAAACGGTGGCGAACTCTTTCGGGACGGAAGCGAACAAACGCGACGGCGGATGATCGAGGGTTAATGAAATTCTAGTTTAATTAAAGAACTCACCAGAGAGGTGATGAGGTAACTGTGATAGTCGCTCATCATTCCTATTTGCTGCGCCTGCTTCAACACCTCGTATATCCTCTCGGTGGAGCAATCCAGTACAATGTGCGACTCGGCCGAGTTCTTTATCTGCTTCAGCAGCGGCCTGAAACATAGACAGAAGCCAGGGTATATAACGGTGCGTCTGTGTGGTGTACATAGCTGTGATACATGACGGTGTTTCCTCCCTGTTCTGAGGGGACCCACTCCGCGGGATCCGTTGATTTCCACTATTAAACGACGGTGTCGTTGTCTCGCCGTGCCGCGGAACGACGATCTTTTTGCGTACGTATTTTTTTTTACGAACTCGAAGATATTACGGTCGTTCTGCTGCGAACACGATGTTTCCGCGCTGGCGACATCGCATTATGGTAGTTCCGTGAGAGAAACAGTGGCATTGAATATTCTATCGTGCTCTTACTTCTCTACACCTGCAGTACCCAAACGCTATTACGACCGCCATATTTATTTCTCACCATTTTATATAGCTACATTAAACTATGGTGTATTATAATAAATATTCTAAGGATGCGTTGTTGGATTATTTAATAATATACAGGGTGAAGAATCGTGCACAGTTAATGGAGTGGTCGCTCGGATCGTGGCGCTCGGCCATTGGTCAGTGCGGGCCTTACGCGCGCTCTCATTGGTCATAACTGTTTTTCGTCAATAACTCAAAAGCCATAACTCGTTTTGCATTTTGCCAAAGGAAATTATTGTTCAGAAACACGTACAGAATCATCTCCCTTCGACTCTACTACTTTTTCTGAAATATCTTGTATCTTTAAAGGCTTGGATAACCAACACTGTTGGATGACGAATTAGTTATTAGTGTTAGTACAGTCTTATTCAGCGACAAATAGCCTTAAATTTAGATAAAGGATGTTACTCAGCCCTAAAACTACCCAAAATCGACTCATCCTATCCCAAAGATACCTACTCCTACCCTCCAATTATCATACTGCACATCATAACCTCATACTGAATAGATATAAGGACCAAAAAATATGTACAATAAAACAGATTCCAATAGTTCGTGCTGACGTGCAGAGTTGTACCGTAATAAAGTTCTAGAAGTTCCAAATTAGCAATTGTTGCAATTTATTCCTACATTGGGGTACAACAACACTATGCAGTGTCAGGGTCAGTTCTGTCTAAGTAGGTGCCAAGCTCTTGTGCAATTAGGCTCTGCTTCACCTCCATTATGATTTTCATAGACGTTTGAATAAAATGAAAGCAAATAATGAGATAAAAATCGTTTAATTTATTCACCCATTCCCGATACAGCGAAGTTGTTCGAATTTTTTGATTAAACTTCATGAAACAATGATGCTTGTAGGAAATCTCGCTGGGCCATCGACTGAATAAAACGCCAGCCAAGGAGATAAGAACGGAACGGAACGGAACAGAAGAGAGAAGGAGGGCAGATCGAGGGAGCCTGATTACGAATCGTGCAGGTAGGTTGACCTCTCCGCGAGGCAGTTCGCACGCATTCGTCTATGGAGGTCGCGCACCCCGAGGGAGACGGGGGATGGTACCTTCCGATTCCGAGCCTGCGCCCCGTGTACTTCTGATCAAAATTTCATATCGCCGGTATCCTCTCTCCGGCCTTTCGCTCGCCTACGCTCATTCAACATGCACGATAATGCGAATCTCCTTATACGCTCGCTGCAACTTGGACTGTCGCTCATTGCGCGAATTTTTCATGGTCCGTTGCATAATTTAGTCGGCGAGTCTCTTTTATGCGCGACATTCCGCTGCGCCCGCGCAGCGGTTCTCCTTATGAGACGGTCTTCTCGTGGTAACCAACTGTGTCACATCTCTTGTGGACGAATAAAACTAGCCGCGGTAGCCGGGAACAGTGCGTTACATCGGCGAGGGAACAAGACGGACCGCGACGGCCGTAAAAGCATTTACAGCGTGAGAAGTGTCCGGCTTGAGAATACTTCATGATTGGTCGGATTTATGGGGGTGTATCGCGCCGTTCGACCGAGCCAAACGTGCCGAGTGGTGAACAAGATTTATCGGACTGCAGCAAATACCGAACCTTTTCTGCGATTCTTGATCTATTAACGAGACTAGGAAAGAAATACAGGGTGTTCCAAAACTAGTGTAAGATATTGAAATGGAACGTTCCTGACGTAATTTTAAACAACATTTTCCTTAGCGAAAGTTATCCGAGGTGTGGTTGAGGAGTTATTAACGAAAAACCCTCGACCAATTAGAGTACTCGATTGGCGCGAACTACGAATCGGGAGCGTTGGCTCGGACGCCTGGCTTTTGACGCGTGAACAACCGCTCCGCTCAATACGAAGCGTTTTAAGAAAATGACGAATAATAAACTAGATGAATAAC